AACATTATGTGGAAAATTCGATTCAGAATATTTTTCCGAGCAGACGCAAAACTACTACCTGGACTAAAAGGACATTGGATAATTAATATGCTCCTTTATTGCTTATACAGTCTGCGAAAATTCAATGTTTGCCATTTGTTAGCCTAAAAATTGTTTCCAAATAAACTGAGCCTAAGGTACTCTTAGGGGTCTTGTAGGGAAAGGTTTGAGCTTTAATTTAGATACGTGCTTCTTTTAACCTAGTGTTTAAGCATTGAATATGCTCATTTTGGCGCGTAATGGACACATTGAGATAAGATCTAAATATAATATTTATTCACTCAATGTACAAAGATAACAAACAATATGAGTAAATAAATATAAAATCAAAACAAGCCCAATAGAAGGCATGGCCTGTACATGAACTAATAATTTAAGTTGAAACTGTAGAATGCAAATGACAAAAAAGGACAAAAATTAGCTACAGTAGATTATGTATTTAGTTGATGTTCATATTTATGAGTTTATGAATTTCAGTCCTAGATATAGAATGTAGCCACTTTTTTAAATTTTTTTTGAAACAATTTCCGAAACGTAAATCTTTTAAGTCTTTAGGTATAATTTCATAAAATTTAGGCGCTAAATAGAGATATGATCACTGCATTATAGATTTATGCGGTTGAGGAACTACTGTGCCACGAATTTTGTACCTGGTATAATGATTATGTTTAATTTTTTGGTCGGTGTTTACAAATTTATGGTAGTGAGTGATACTGTGTAAGAAATAAAGCTGTCTTATATCATACATTCGAACATCTGCGTACAATTTTTCAGTGGGATAAAGTTTCGGTTTTTTAAATATCATTTTTAGAATACTTTTTTGAAAAACATCTAAATTATACATATGTGAGGAACATGCAGCTCCCCATGCTAATATACCATATGTGAGATGAGGCTCAATCAGTGCATGGTATAATGTTCGAAGATATTTTTCTGTCAATATATTCCCAAGGTATTTAATTTTGTAGGATACAAATCTAACTTTCTTTAAAATATAATTGACATGGATGTCCCATCGTAAGTGAGGATCCAAGACCACTCCAAGGTATTTTATGTTGGGCACTCTATTAATTTGTATTTTTTGATCATTAATGTTGAAGGAGAAATTTGTGTAATTTGGCAGATGTCTAGCATAAGATCCAAATGGTAAAAAATGTGTTTTAGAGTAGTTAATGCTTAATTTTCTACTGTTAAACCACCGAATAATTTTGATAAAATCATTTTCAATTACATTTTTCAGATCAGACCAGTCAGTGCCTTCATATAATATTGCAGTATCATCTGCAAAACTAGTTATTTTGCCAACACAATTAATTTGGAAAATATCATTTAAATATATATTGAATAACAGCGGACCTAAGACAGTTCCTTGTGGGACACCACACTTAATATACATTTCTTTACTAGATGATCCTGATATCTGCACAGATTGTGGGCGATTTGACAAATAATTTTCGATTAGTGAGTACGCGTTTCCTCTGAAACCAATTCTCTCCAATGCTTCTAATAATAATTTGTGATTAACTGTGTCGAAAGCTTTCTTTAAATCAACAAAAACGCAGATTGAAGGGATTCTGTTATCAATATTTTGATGTATTTGATTTACAATTTTAGTTATTGCGTCCGATGTAGCCTTCCCTTCTGTAAATCCATATTGATTTTCACTTAAAATTTTGAATTTTGTGAGGTATCGAATCATTCTAGTAGATAAAACTTTTTCAAAAACCTTTGTTACACTGGATATTATTGATATTGGTCTATAGTTGTTAACATCTGTTTTTGTTCCTGATTTATGTATCGGTATTATATTACCTTTTTTTAAAATTGAGGGATATATGCCAGATTCAAAGCATTTGTTGATTAGGTAAGTGAGTGGTTCTGTTATGTCCTCGGCTATAATTTTCAAATGCTCGCTTTTAATACCATCGAACCCAGGACTTTTTCGATTTTTTAAGGACATAACCGTGGTGTATACTTCACATTGCTCGACTTTATCCAAAATAAATGAGTTCAAAGTTCTTTTTGGAGGCTGAGTATTTTATGCATTTGCTTGTATATTACTTGCTAAATTCTTGCCTATGTCAGTAAAGAATTGTACAAATTCATCGCATATTTGTTGAGTATTTTTTAATACTGTTCCCGATGTTGTATTTAACTCAGTGACACACTCTTTAAATTTTGTTTTCCCAGTAATCTCATCAATAGTTGTCCAAAGCCGCTTAGGATCATTTAAGTTATTATTCAATTTATTTAGGTAACGTTTTCGTTTGGTTTGCCTTGCAAGCTCTATAAATTTATTTTTATATTGGTTGTAGCAGTCGGTATTCTTTGTAGTTGGCGTTAGTTTCATTACATTATATAGTCTTTCTTTTTCTATTGCCATATGAAAAAAATATCGTGGCTTTTTATATAGTTAAAATAACACTATATTCGTCAAACGCTGTGAAGTTTAAGGACTGGTAGAGAAGTAGTATTTTGACGGTGAATAATTCGAAACCTCTTACTATATCTGATCTGCTAAAGGTTCGTAATAAGGAATTCTGAGAACTCATACTTTTCAAGTCAATTTAACATCTCACATGTCCGAAACTAAAGAAGTCGCGTTAAAAACAATTAAAAAAGCACGCTATGTATTCCTATAGCTCAAAACTTATCATTATATTATTATAAACCAGCATTATGAGGTTACTTTGAAACCCCTGTATGACATCAACTAGCTGCGCAAGAATTGAGAGCACCTCACACAATTCTAGTAAAATTCCATGGAACCTCTACTACTAATAATATTTTCAAGGACACTTGATTAACTGTCATGTTTTAATTCAGGGTGTTGGTATTGAAATGACAGGTCAGAATTGCTTAATTGCTCTAAGTGACAGGCCGTCTAGTGATTTATTATCTAACATCCCACGCCACGCGCTACGACTGACAGTTATTTGAAACGGAGACAATAACCAAGGTTGTGCTTTGTCCCCTTTTTCGCTCAATTACCACTTGCGCTATGCCAGAAAGATTGATAAATTATTAAACAACAGAAAACATATTTTTTTCACTACTGACTTTTACCGCTATTTACCGTATTCATACAAAGAGAAGTTACGTTTTTCCCCTAGGTAAATAGTGATAATGAGAAAACCCTGGATAAATAATAATTGTCTAGACCTTCTTTGATTTGTTGGGCACAGAACTTTACTGCTATTTTTGAGTATTACTTATAAATAATTATTGTTATAAGTAAATATAGAAGCTGTTATTATTGAAACTATTGTTGTCGATTTTATTTATCCCTTTACTTTGATAACTTAAAGAGGCAGCGTCCCTCTCCTACGCAGGCAATACGTCAGGTTTATTCTGGTAGTACTGCCAAACGTTCAAACAATTCTCAGAATTGCTATACTAAGTGACATATAAATCCGAACACCCAGTTTAAATGGTTTTATTTTAATAAAATTTTGTATAAGTACTTAATGAAGCATAATAAGTAGATGATGAAAATTTCAAAATGATTGCACTGCTTTAAAGCCCTTTGACCTTTAATAATGTGTGGATGCACCCTGATGTGCTACGCATTCTCCAACGCGCCTAGGCATGCTTCTGATCAGGTGGTCAATGTCCTCCTGTGGTATCTCATTCCAGGCAACCACCAACTCCTCTCGAAGTGCTTCTAGAGTCTAAGGAGGAAGTTGCAAATTGAGCAATCTCCTACCCATCATATCCCACACGTGCTCAATTGAGGATAAGTCGGGAGATCTTGGTGGCCATGGTAACAATGTGACATCATTATGTTGAAAGAAGTCTATTGTGACTCTTGCAACATGTGGTCGGGCATTATCTTGTTGGAAAGTTGGATCTGCCAGGGTGTCAAGATAGGGTAAAAGATGGGGTTCTAGAACTTCGTGGATATAACGCTGCGCGTTCATGTTACCTCTGATGAAGATTAAAGGTGACCTGGAACCATAAGCTATAGCACCCCAAACCATAACTCCAACAGTGTGATGAACATGTCTTTCAACAGAAAACTGTAGATTCCTCCTTTCACCACGTCGCCTTCTAACCCTTGCACGACCATCGTGCATGCCTAAACATAATCGAGACTCGTCACTAAAGACAATACTGTTCCATTCCTGATCCCAGAGTGACCGTTGTCTGCACCACTCAAGGCGATTACGTCGGTGTTCTCGAGTTAAAGGGAGGACCCAGTGTGGCCGGTATGAAAACAAGCCAAAACTTCTCATTCGTCGGTAAACACTTCGCATGCCAATAGGTCTTCCGTGTTCGGCAAACCATTCATTTGCAATGGACCTGGTAGTGGAGAAACGGTCCCTTAAGGCCAATAATCTTAGGCGGCGATCTTCACGGTCTGTTGTTCTACGGCGGCGTCCAGTGCCCCTTGCTCTTTGCGTACGGCCTTCTCGAAGCCATGACTGACAACACCTAACCACAGTGTCTACACTTCTTTGCACTCTAACTGCAATTGCCCGAAAAGAAAGTCCAGCTTCTCGAAGTCCCACTATACGGCCCCTATCAAACTCACTATGTTGACGAAATCGTACACGTCTCCGTACTCATCGTATGCATCGTAACCGATCGTAAAGGATGTCGAGAACCAAAATCCGCCAACGTTGATTCTTTACTGCGGCTGAAATATTCATTTTTAGAGCGTTAGTGAATTAAAAAAAAAAAACAGCATAAAAGCCGGAATGTCCAACTGATAAGGCTGAAAATTTTTTCACTTGTTATTTACAGTAAGATAAATACATTCACCAACTTTCATTAAAATAAAACCATTTAAACTGGATGTTCGGATTTATATGTCACTTAGTATATATACCAAAGTACTTAAATTAAATATGGTAATATATCATAGTTACGAGCGAAAAAATCTATACATACATCGGTAGAGAGGGTCGATAATGGCGTATTTCACCAAGTTATGAAATGTGCTATTGTTTAATACATGGAAAACTTAAAATGCGCATACTTTTCTGCTGTGTTTCGCTATATTGATGTAGTGCAAACTGATTAACCAAAAAACCGTTTTGGAGGATAGTGGACGCGCTTACTTACGAGTCGTAGAGAGAAAAGCCATAATATCGGACTTTTAGCATTTTACAAGCCTACTAATGGCCAACTGCTGTCCTACCTCGACCATGACCTTCATCATGTACTCGTATGGGTAAAGTATGTTACAATATAAATTGTATTTTTTACTCCTGATCCAAATAAGCGGAAGATTTCACATTCAGATGATAACTGGATCTTTGACAGTTGTTGACAGATTTGCTGTGTCCAGAAAAACACTAATAAGCATGAAATCAATAGTATCTATTGTTTCCGATTACATATTAGATCTGGTAAAAGCGCAACATTTTTTTTCTCCGTATTGTAGATTTTACTGAATGATGTCAATAATTTGAAAAAAATAATAAATAAAAAACTTACTGTTTTACTCATAAGAAAGAGTTACCATCATCCGATCGTGAATAACTACGTCGTATCTACGTATTGGGCCAACATAGGCCAACATCAATATGTGGACGCTAGACCAACGCGCATTGGCCGGAGTTGGTCAACGTTGGGGCTTAATGATCTTGGTTTCCACAGCCAACGAATGATACTAGATCAACGTTAAATTAATAAGTAACTCTATACACATTGACAAAAAATTTAGGTCGAACGGTTTGTGAAACTGTACCACTGTACAGTTTAAAATTGGCAACTTATTAGAAAAGCAAAAACATGGCACGAAATTAAAATTTCTCTTTGATTAACTAAACGAATTTATAATTTTGATTGAAGGCATTGTTAGACCTCAACTAATGCAGAAGACAGATTTATGAAATCGATTTACTCTGCAATTACATTATTCTTGGAATAAACTGTATAATAAATGCAAAAGTACTGTGAAATAGATCACATAAAGTTCGTTTATAGCTTTTCGTGTAAAATGCCTGTCACACACTCGATGAGCATTCAATTTAACCAGTTTTTAGTGGTAATTTCTGGTTTCCTACTAACTGCAAAAGCTGAAATAGTATCCAGATAACATCAATAAAACCGGTATAACGAACATTACAAAAATGATGTTGCATTACATATTCCAATGAATATAAATGATAATTTCAATCACTTCCATACTCTTATAATCTGCTAAAATTTAAAATAATTAAAGTATTATCGAAGGTAAAAATGTGAACAATTACTTTCTTAAAGGTCAACACTTTTCTTCATAGCAGTATCCGAGGAATCATATCTTGGACGACAGCAAGGAACACCTTGTATATTGCATACAAATTATACACCTCCATATACAGGGTGATTTCGAAGTTGAGTCATTTATTTTAACACTAAGTAGATCTGATCAAAAGAAATGTTTTTTCCTTTAACATTTTTGTGGTAAAATTAAAGTAACAAAGTTATAGCCCTTTAGAAGTTTGAGTACCGCCCTGTCTCAATAATAATATTATGTGCTCGTGTTTGGCAACAACGGATATAATCCGCGTTATCGGTTCATCGCATCGGAAACAAAAAAGCGAAAGAATTTGAAACGCTGATCACGATGTTTTTATTCAGTCAATGTGTCATTCGGTAACGCGTGACTGAATAGTGGTGTTTGCTGCGTGGCTCAAAGGAAATAAAAAATGGCACATGTTTATGCGGATCGGTTTCCCAATCGAGTGCAACCAACCCCTCGTGCCTTTGTTAATGTAGCACAACGGGCTCGTGAATCAGGTGACTTAAGACCTCACAGGGAAGGGCATGCCGGTGCTCCAAGACCTCACGATCAAATACAGGTCCGCACTGAAATACTTGTCGGGAGGATACTTTATAAAACAAGGTAACATTTTTTTTTAATTTTTTTTTATTTTTTACACACATATTTTGGTTTATCTTCCTTCTACAATCATTATCTGAAAATTAATGACTCAACTTCAAAGTCACCCTGTATACATAGCTTGCAAGACTGAATTCATGACTTTGTCACTGGGACGTAATTTTTTTACCTTGCTTTTAATTATGGTGTCTGTGATAAGTAAAACAAATGACATTACACAGCATTATTCATCAGACGCTCCCTGTATAATTTCCTACAGATTGGACAAGGGCTTACCAATTTGAGGAGGCTGTGCTTTTTTTGCTCCCACATCTCGTCATGTCGGCGTCAACATTGGTTCCAATGTATTGGCCCAATATGCGGATCAGACATTATAATTATTTTATTTCCCGAGATAATTCACCCTTCATAAACAAACGATAGTAGTATAGAGATAAATTCTGTAATAATGAATTCTGCAAAAAGATATGAGCCGGACATATAAATGAAGATACTGCGAGATTTGTGATGTAGGTCAAACATCAAAACCATTATTTTTCAGCAGGGTGGATAGAATATTTAAAGTAATCGCAAATGCGAACATTTTGAAGTAAAAACCTCGACTAAGCAGCTGTTGATGTTGATAATGAAACGAAATATAACACTATTGAACATACTTTTGTGTTTCATAGTTCACTCTTGCAGTGTTACAATATCTCAATGATTATTGTGGACTTATATTGTTTTGTCTACTTCTCTGTTAAGTCTACAGACAGCAATACCTTCGGCGTAAATCCACAAAAAAGGAAACTTTCTTTTACTGTCTCTTGCCTGTGTTTCTTGTTGGTTGTTTTCCCGCACTCAGAGTTAAAGTCTTTATCGACTAGACGGTCTCCCACAGGGAACGCGGAACATAAAAAGCCCCTACAGATAATCATCTGGTTTGCGACGGAGCCGCGTAAAACGGTTGCGTATATCTCGGCAGTTTTGTTCTTATTCCAGTTCGGAGGCTTATTTTATAGTTCAAGCGTTCACGTCTAACTGCCCTTGAAGCAGTTCTCAGCCGATAGTCAAATGGAAGGAGAGCTATTTGTAAGATATGCTCTTCTAAATGTTGTAACGCCTTCGTAACCAGGCTTCGGTGAAGACTCCAGTTCTATCTGGAAAGCGCAAGACGCTTCTGGACTCGTCGATTCGAAGATAAATATACGCACAGACCAAGCGGAGGCAGTCAGAGAGAGAGAGAGAGAGAAAGAGGGGGAAATAATCAACTGATCAATCTGCAGCGCGAAACGCTATAGTCCAGTCGACGTAGTAAACGTTTTCAATAAATTAGTTGCTAGTTTTGTAATAAATTAGTGTGACAGTAATAAATTGAACATTGAATAGTTAAAACGAAACACACCATTATAATGTGAAGCATTTGCTACATTATGTAGCTGCAATAAAGTAGCCAACAACATATCCACGTCTACGTAACATTGCGGCCAAAGTTGCCAAAATATAATACATGTGCTTAGTCGCCGCACAGTTTTGCAACAAAAACGTTGTTCGTTTCAAGGTATGTCCCGCTCGGAGAATACAGGTATATATGTATATACAGTTATAAGATTTTGGGTGGGCCAACGGAAGTCAGATGATAGAGGGCCACTATAGTTCAGGAGATATTGTGAAATTTTGAAAAAAGCGGAATTATGAACATTCTATCGCAAGTACAACTATTAGATCTGGGACTACGATATTTTTTCTGGTATGAGCTAAGCATTTAGAACTATAAAATATCAGATTTCATATCTAGAGGTTGAATTTATAGAGACCCTTTATCAACTGACTTCCGTTGATCCGCCGATAACTTTACACAATGTATTTTTAGTTTATTTCAACATATACGTAACTCAAAGCAGAGAATGAAGGGTTAGTCTTAAATTTAAATGTATTGCAACTCGTATTTCTGGAGAAGATAATAAAAATTAACGAGAGCTCGAAAGACAGAAAAGTATTTTGTGTCCACAGTCTTGTTGGCAATAACTCCGATATGTCTGACAGCAACTTCACAAATCTGCAAATTTAGTTCCACCTTTCAAGTGATAATTTTAATTTTTATCTCCGTGAATAAATTGAAACAGTTTCCTTTAGATCTGAGCGTTTCTTGTCAGGGAAAAGGTCAAAAATATATGAAATAAATTTTTACATTAAAGCGCGTTTTTTGCATTTTCTTTTCCAATCTTTCTACGGGCAAGAAGGGCAGCTTATATCATAGAAATATGATGGAAAAAACTCTCAATGTATGCATCTTCAAATGTAACTAACTTATAGAGACATGATTCATAAGAAGGGTTTTCTCCATATGTAAATCGCACCTAAAACATTGTTAGATGAGAGATATGACGTTTGAAGGGTTGTGGTAGATATTTAAAAAGTGTTTTGCAAAAATAATATTCAGCTATCTTGTCTCAGAGTGTATAGAACAATGTTAAAAGCCTTCCTTGCAGAACATTATTAGCCATTGAAAAGCAGAAATACTGAAATATGCAAAGAGCACCTGATGCTGTTTTAGAGGAGGAATAGTTAAAGCAGCTTCTCTTAAATCCTACTCCATCTATACAGGGTGTTCTGAAAGTTGGGAATTTCCTTTTTAGAGTCACTTTGCAATGCCAAAGGTAATTTGCGGCTTTACAACGCCGAAAACGTCAAAAGAAATTGAAGAGAAATACTCACTACTCATTTAGTAAGGAAGTTCAAGTACCTCACTGTCACGTGTTTTGTTTGTAAACTCTCCTTGAAGTTGTCGCTGTTCAATTCAAAAACACGTGTTTGTTTACCGCTTCCTAAATATGCAACATGTGGGATTGTCTAGGTCTTCAACTGTGTTCAACCAGGTGGCATTTGCACGATATAAACAAATATATGCGCCTGTGATGGAAAGAAACATCGAGGACGACGTCGACATTCTGAGTACACTCGCGGAGTATCAGTAGGCCAATGACCAAAATGTGGTTTGTTTATAAGATAGACACCACGGGTCGTCTGATTTGCATACTGACTCACAGCTTTGATTATTGTCTTTGGAACTTTATATCTCGGATATTTTAAAGCTTTCGTGTATATGCTACTAAAAAACATGATTACTACCTGACCTTTATAGACACAGTGTAGTTTTTGAAAGTATTATTAAGATGTTTTTATTCTAGGATGGAGAGAATCATTATTTTCTCTTCCAAAGAAGCTCCTATCCGGGACCTCGTTGGTACACTCAAACTCGACGACGGATGACACAGAGGTAAGTTACTGAACAAAAACAGAGTCAGATCGTTTTTAACTCAACCCTCAAACATTTTTATGCACAAATAAAATGTTATGCTAATGGCAAGATTTGGACGACTAAGATAAATAACCTGGAAAGCATCCAGAACTCGAGATACTGTAAAACATTGAACTGAACCTTTCGCAAATCAGAACATATTTAAAGAATTTCTTTGAGTTGTGATATATTTTTACCCGCCAGCCATACAAATTTTCTCAAAAATCACTGCATTCTGGAACAGCGTAGCTTGCTACAGTTCTTTCGCGGCTTTTCCAGATGTCCTACGAATCTGGCGTTTTCCCAGAAAACTGGAAATTTACTCATATCTCGCCCATTTCAAAAAAGACCGACCCTTACAACAGCAGGCCTATCGCTCTGTTTTGTGTTATAAGTGTGGCGAAAAACAAAAAGAAAGTGTCGTTAGTTCAGACTATAATGCTGCATTAAGCCAACTGAAGCAAGACGGAAGATGTCAAAACTGTTTTTCTATACATATGCGAGGAGCAGTCATGAATTCTGAGAAAACATTCTCTCTCTCTCATTTCTTGGTCAAGAAGCTTATGTAAAAAGATGACCCATTTTCTGTAATTGGTTTCATTGTCTAATAGTTAAAGTTGAAGTTTTGATTACTCTGGAAAAGAGTTGCCAAAGATGTGTATCTCTCTCCAAGAAGGATTTTGGAATGCCAGTCTATTTTTTTCTTAGTCTGACCAATATGCACCATTTGACAGCACAGTACAGTAAATTAGATTTATATCCAATATACATCCCTGATTAAAGGAAATAACATTCCCACCGTTTTTTAGGAAAAAACACAATCCTTACCATGTCACCTGCTAGGCGTTGTTTAATCTTTCCTGATAGTCCTTTGACATGAAGGAAGTTCACAATCCTTTATATTTGGATCATTCTGGGTGGTTTGGTGATTGCTATTATTGATTAAATACATATTTCTTCAGGATAGTCGTTAAGCTTAAGTTATAAACAGCTAAATTTTGTTAAACGAATTGTGAGCTACTAGATTTGACATCTTTTTTTTTTGTGAAACCATAATATTGTACGTCTGTTTAAAATGATGATAAGAATAAAAATCAAGCAGCCTGCCTTAGCTAGTAGGATTCTCCTCGTATCAACTAAATAATAATCTAACGTTCTCTGTTCTTGTCAAAGAGACATCCAAAAATGGGATATTACACATTACATAGAACTTGTTATTCCAAATTTTCGAATATTTTCACCTACGATCGAATTTAGACTGTATCAGCTATTTCAGAAGCCACTGCTTGTTGGTAGTTAGCAAGGATACATAGCACGTTTCTCCTACGCCACTGATAAAGAGATCCCTCAGGCAGAATGGCAAAACAAGCCAGCGTAAGCCGTCGTCCCACAGGACATCAAATATGTAGATGGTATTTTTGTGTTTTCAGCGCCGATTTTTTACGGGTGTCGTCTTGCACCACTCGGGGAGGATCAAACCGAAATGGCAGACAGCTTAATGAAGTTTGCTGCTGTTGCTTTTCCACTGTTTCCATAAATCCTTCAGATGGATATATTTATAAGTATGTGGATTCTTATATTATCATTGCTTAAATTAAGCAGCTGGAAACGTCTGGAGAGAGAGCGAAATTAAGGCCCTGCTTTGCTGCTTATAAAGATTGAGGGGTAGGAGAGTGACTTTCAAGATACACAAATTTTATCTGGTCTAGAGCGTTTTAAAGCGGTGACCCTGGGACAGAGCAGAATCCTGGGCCGTATATTGCCGATGGTTGCAAGAGAAAACTAGGGGTGTCGTAAACATATTTCTTATAACACAAGTCCTCTTTACTTTAGGGTCCATTGACCCATATTTCGGCGACCTCAGATGAGAGCCCATAGACGGGTGCCCCAGTTTCTCCTTGCTATTCCCGGCATAACATAATATACAGGGTAGAAGTTGGGGACTACAGCGACACTGGCAGGAGAAATTTGGTGTGTCTGTGAGTTATTCAATCTCTTCATTCTACGCAAGATTCTAAACAAGATCATATAGTTATATAATACGGCTTCCATTTTTGAAATATCTGAAATCTTATGTGAAAATTATTAAGCGAGGTCGAGATGGATCACCTTTTCCTGTATTTTAGGAATTTGCATACAATTTGTAACGGTTTCTTTATAGGAACAGACTTTTTTTTAGTAGACATTATTTGATACATATACTAAGTGACATATAAATCTGAACACCCAGTTTAAATGGTTTTATTTTAATAAAAGTTGGTGAATGTATTTATCTTACTGTAAATAACAAGTGAAAAAATTTTCAGTCTTATCAGTTGGACATTCCGGTTTTTATACTGCTTTTTTTTAATTCACTAACGCTCTATCTAGAGTACGGAGACCTGTACGATTTCGTCAAATTAGTGAGTTTGATAGGGGCCGTATAGTGGGACTTCGGGAAGCTGGACTTTCTTTTCGGGCAATTGCAGTTAGAGTGCAAAGAAGTGTAGACACTGTGGTTAGGTGTTGTCAGGCATGGCTTCGAGAAGGCCGTACGCAAAGAGCAAGGGGCACTGGACGCCGCCGTAGAACAACAGACCGTGAAGATCGCCGCTTAAGATTATTGGCCTTAAGGGACCGTTTCTCCACTACCAGGTCCATTGCAAATGAACGGTTTGCAGAACACGGAAGACCTATTGGCATGCGAAGTGTTTACCGACGAATGAGAAGTTTTGGCTTGTTTTCATACCGGCCACTCTGGGTCCTCCCTTTAACTCGAGAACACCGACGTAATCCCCTTGAGTGGTGCAAACAACGGTCACTCTGGGATCAGAAATGGAACAGTATTGTCTTTAGTGACGAGTCTCGATTTTGTTTAGGCATGCACGATGGTCGTGCCAGGGTTAGAAGGCGACGTGATGAAAGGAGGAATCCACAGTTTTTTGTTGAAAGACATGTTCATCACACTGTTGGAGTTATGGTTTGGGGTGCTATAGCTTATGGTTCCAGGTCACCTTTAATCTTCATCAGAGGTAACATGAACGCGCAGCGTTATATCCACGAAGTTCTAGAACCCCATCTTTTACCCTATCTTGACACCCTGGCAGATCCAACTTTCCAACAAGATAATGCCCGACCACATGTTGCAAGAGTCACAATAGACTTCTTTCAACATAATGATGTCACATTGTTACCATGGCCACCAAGGTCTCCCGACTTATCCCCAATTGAGCACGTGTGGGATATGATGGGTAGGAGATTGCTCAATTTGCAACGTCCTCCTCAGACTCTAGAAGCACTTCGAGAGGAGTTGGTGGTTGCCTGGAATGAGATACCAAAGGAGGACATTGACCACCTGATCACAAGCATGCCTAGGCGCGTTGGAGAATGCGTAGCACATCAGGGTGCATCCACACATTACTAAAGGTCAAAGGGCTTTAAAGCAGTGCAATCATTTTGAAATGTTTATCATTTACTTATTATGCTTCATTAAGTACTTATACAAAATTTTATTAAAATAAAACCATTTAAACTGGGTGTTCGGATTTAAATGTCACTTAGTATATTTGGATAATAGTAGGTAAGGTTATGTTGTTACAATCCCCAAAAGCAATATTTTGTATAAGTTTGCTTACATCTCAAATTAATGACTTTCGAAGTATTCAGTTTTCCTATTAGAATAACGCTTCCCTCTTTTTTTGGTAGTAATGACAGCTTGTTTTACAGACCGTATACACAAAGTGGAGGGATTCCAAAGACAATTTGACGAAATGACATCCTATTTATAAAATGACTGTGTTCATAATACCTTGAAGTCCTTGAAGTTAAGTTAAGAAAATGTAAATATATCAGACGTTTGCTTTCATTGAGAGTTGAGTGCGAATACTGAACTTAGCATTATATACGGTGCTTTTCAAAAAGCCCCTCTCGTTGATGAATTCAATGCATGGGTACTATGTTTTAACGTAAGATTTACAATTGAATCTTCAAGATAGCGGCAGGGCGTATCATTTAAGAAAAAAAAATATTTAGGTCTTTCTTAAAGCATGGACCAAATCCAGTACAATATTTAGATTGATATGACAGCTATTCTGATATTTTTTTTCAAAGTAACAGTGTCACTACTTACTTGAGAGAGATAATTCAAGAAAAAAAAAAGGTTTATTTTCAACAATACAACGACATGTTCATTGGGGCTAGCTACAAAAACCTATTTTATCTCGTTATAGGCTTGCATCAAGTCAGTCAAACTAGATCATTGATGTTTGTCCTTGCTGTACAGAAGTCTGCTTAATACATTCTGTGAAGACATAAATGAAGTTACAGAATATTTACTATTTAACAAGCATAGGGTAAATATTCAATTTACTTGACTACCGTGCGAAGAACACTGTTTCTTTATAACTATCTTTGTGATCAATACGTGTTTAGCTCCAATTTTCCTGGATTAACATCAATGAGCTTTCGCGCCCTCTACTGGACGGGCAAACGACTACGCGACGTCTAACCGTACCTTGCCACAATACCTCACCCTACATTGTGAAAAATATATTCTTTTTAAATTATCTCTCTCAAGTGACAATGTTATTTTTAATAATCTACTCAGTAACTGTTGCCACATCAATCTATTGTATCATGTTTGAATCATGTTTCGAGCAGGGCGCCAATCCTTCTATTTGATTGATCGAGTCTGCGATTATATCGCAGATCCTTCTTTTTGATTGGTGGCTTTTGCCTCTGGGTCGCAAATTTTCTGTTCGGGGCCATATGAATAAATAGATTTTTGTAGCTTAACCAGGTGAAATATATGAAATATTTCTTGATTTAATACGGAACTAAGGATCCATTTTACACAAATCGTGTAACTTTCTCCAGTTTGAGAGACATTTTACAAGAAATCGACCATATTTATTAGACCCGTTACTTCAAAACTGCCTTCTCGTTGGTCTAATTTGTGCCATAGGCGCAAATTTTGATTCCCACGGGTCAACAACAAAATTGGGCTTGAGGGAGATATAGTTCAAAAAAATTGAAAGTCGTTTTGAAATGGAATGTTCCATTCTTTGTTACATTGATAGTGGAAGGAGAAATTTCCAACAGCTACTCTTATCTAAAAATTCGTTCTTCTTTTTTCTTCCTACTTTATCAATAGGCTCATGCCTGTTTTACTTCGGTTTTTAGCCTCAATTGATGTTGTCTGACCATCTTTTCCGCGGTCGTCCCATGGATCTTCATTCATTTGGCGATTTGTCTCTTGTTATTCGTACTGTTCTATTTTCTGTCATTCTTTCTATGTGTTGATTCCAGTCTATTGTTCTTCTTTTGGTCCACAGGTTTATTTCCTTTATATGACAACTCGCTCGTATTTCCTCACTTCTTACTCTGTCTCTTAGAGTTTGGTTTGTTATTTTTCGTATTTCATTTCTGCTGTTTCCAATAATCTTTGTGTTTTCGCCGTATCTGCTCTTGTTTTCGCCGTATCTGCTTTTGTTTTCGCTGTGTACGTCATTATCGGTCTTATTGTTGATTTATGTATCCTAGTTTTCGTTTCCGTTGTGAGGTATTTGTTTCTCCAGATTGTATTGTTGAGACATCCTGCTGCTCTGTTCGCCATGTTCACTTGTTTTTGTACTTCTTCTTCCACTTTTCCATAGCTTGACAGTTTGATTCCCAAGTATTCCTTTTCCATCACTTGTTCTATTATTTTGTTATTTACGACCATTTTACATCGTCTCGGTTCCGCTGATATCACTATCGATTTAGTTTTCTCTGTTGAAATCACCATGTTGTATATGAGCGCCGTATCTTCGAACTGTTTAATTAATCTTTGTAGGTCATCTTCATTTTCTGCTATTATTATGGCGTCGTCGGCGTAGCATATTATCTGCATTTCCTTTTCTCCCATTCTATATCCTCTTCTTTTTATAACTTTCTTTATGATTTCATCCATTATCAGATTAAATATTAGTGGGCTCAGCAAATATCCTTGTCTAATGCCAGTTTCATACTTGATAGGTTGCAAGAGTTTTCCTTTACATCTTACTTATCTAAAAATTCCATGCGTCAATTTCATCACACCAAGTTTTGTCTTGCTAACTTCAACGTTCAAAATATAAGTTAAACCT